CCATGTGTTCTGGTGCGCCTTACTTGGGAAGGAGAATGGGGAGGAATATTCCTCTCCCGAGGAGGTGCTGCCATGGGGCGGCAGTCGCTGGTAGGGTCGCGGAAGTGTGCGAAAGCGTTCCCGTAGCCCTCCCAATATGCGACGAAGGTGGAACACCATGGGGTTTTAGTCGGTGCGAGTCCGACATAACCCGTCCTTGCCCCCCGCGAGACAATTGGCGGCATTATCGCTTAGAAGCGATCACTACCAGGCAACCATATTGCAGAGGATATAATAACCTGTGAGAAGGCTAGGGTGGGATGTAAGTACGGAAATTACAGGGCCGATGAAGAAGACGATAAGATTCCTATTCACTGACGCGACTGTCGCTTAAGAATGTCTATTATAATTCTTATAAAAATGTTTACAAACTGTGAAACATAATTCTGAAGCATTAAATTTCATGGTACATAAACACGATCGAACACTTAATTTAAGAAATAAGGTCGGGCCGCCCGTAACTTATTTAGATAATAAGAAAAGAGAATACACGCGTCAGCAATAAAATTTAACTTTTTTGTAAAAGAATTTTTGTACATTGGTACAAATATTTTAATTAAGTTTTCGAAAAAGTTAAGTACTGTAAAATGGGGTGAATAGAAATCTCGGGGTGAATAGAAACAAGTCTGGTTATTTGATAAAGTGTTCTCTAAATTTTTTTAAGATTGGCGAAATAAAGAAAAAATGTGAGCACAACGTAATAAGCAGTAGAAATAACCACACGTTCCCGATCTGTGGGAAAATCTAGAGCCAACTTAATTAAATAACCCCTTGTTTATTTCTTATCACCCCGTGGTTTCTATTAACCCCATTTTACCGATACACTATTCAACCGTGGTTTCTATTTACCCCCTTTTACCGATACAGTTAAAAACTTGGGATTTTTGAATGCTTTTATGGCTTACGTTGGCTAAATCTTAAGTGATACATCGTGTTCATGTACTACAGAATTGTAGCTTTGCAAAACACCTAGAGAAAAGTCTCCTTAGGTTTACTTACAATATCATATGTGGTAGAGCCATGCTGCAGTTATATCAGTAGTATAGTTGTAGCATGAACTGGCCGGCTCGACTGAGGAAGGACCATGCTCTCACAGAATACCAGCGTAGTTTAGCAGTAGTTTAATTGCTGATGTGTTTTGTATGGTGAGTGTAGAGAACCGGAGACCCTTTTTACTGGAAACGAGGCATTCTATCATATTCCTTACGGATGACAACGCATCTGCATTTTGATTTGTAATAATGGATTGATGTTGATGTGTATAGACTGCAGTATCCACTTACCATCAGGCGGACTGTGTGCTTGTTTATCACCCTATTCTATAAGAAAAATCCATTATTAGTTTTAAAATATTAATTAAAAAAACACAAGGTTCTTTGCAAAGCTATTTTCACCAATTTACTATCAATACTTATACAAATAAATATATTAGTTACCTTGAGCATTTAATATGAATTAAAATTGTCCCCTACATTATATAATTTCAATGAGTGCTATAAAAGATATTACAGCTTTACTCGTAACAAAAATGTCGCTCACAACGAAACGCCGCCATGGCCTACTTCGTAGTTTATGCTTGAAAACCGACATTTTGCTGAGTTATTGCTCAAAACAGAAAGTGGGCAGATAGAACAAATTAATGTAAGAATTAGTTATGACATTGAAATGTTTATACAGAAGTTAGTAATATAAGTTCCAAGACATATGCCAAGTATTGGTTCAAGGAGAGAGCTCTCACTTTATAACGATCATGTAGGTAAAGTAAATGACATAATTCTCTCAAAGATCAACGCACCGCAAACGCACTACTCTGCATACACTGTGCTCGATCTAGAAGAAGCTGTTATTTCCCAACAGTATTTCTCAATTTCTTGCAGTCGTCTGAATTGCTCCGACCAAATCGGTTTTAAAAGTAAAGTCTATTTTATTACGAAACTATATTCCAAACAAATTGAGTAACTGTATACTTTTGCAGGTGATATCTTTAAAAATATTCATAATAGAGTGCACTACACTGACTAGAAGTGGTCGAGAAGGTTAAGACTAATTTCATTGGTACTAACAATTGCCTATAATATTTAAATTTCAATGATGATAAAAAATCATAAGGTCAAATATTCATCATTGCGGCCTTAGACCTGAGCGTTGAGTAACAATAAACGATCGGGGAAATTGTTTCTTCGTATTTTATATACAAATTTAAGACATTTTTTTTAAGTTTAATTACATTTAACTATAACACATGTGGACAGCTTATAGGTGGTGACATAATCCTGTTGCTGTAGAAATCTTGGGATATTTTATCAAAAAAATTGCGACAAGTAGTTTTGACAGTCCTCTCTTGATGTTAACCTAACACCAACCAACCGAAACTGGTGAAAATCTGAAGGTTCTAAGTCAGAACTATATGACCGATGCATTAACACTTCCCAACCAAGCTCTCTCAGTTTTGCTGAGTGGCCAAATATGTGTGTGGTCTGGCGTTATCGTGTTAAAGACCACTCCTTTTCTGTTAATCGATTCCGCCCGATTTTTCTCAATTTATTGCTTGAGTCTCATTATTTGCTGGTGGTAGTGATCCAAATCGATGGTTTTGCAAGCTCATAATAAACGATACCCTTCCAATGCCACCCAATGTGATACACATAGCATCACCTTATTTCGTGTTCATCCGCGTTTCGCTACGCAGACTAGCTTTGACCATGATTTTTTTCGCACGTTCTTGTCATAGGTGATCCACCAGTCATCAATACATTTCAATAGAGAATCAAAAGTACACAATTCATTAGGTTTCTTTCAGTGAATTCGTGTTGTACCCAAATATAGTTTTTAACCTTTTATAACCAGACTTTTTCAAATGGATCAAAAAACTGTTTGTAGTCAATTCTCAATTCCTCGGCTATGTCGTAACTACTAATATGCAGTTCTTACCACACTTTTCAAAAAAATGGCATCCACTTTATCCGTATGACAGCTTGCTGCATCTTTTACATCAAAATTCCCGGACTGAAAACGCTCGAACTAACTTTGTGCTACTCTTATTGACACTGCATTGGACCTAATGTCCGTCACCATTTATTTTCGCGGCTTGAGTCACATTTTTCCCTTTTTTGTAATAAAACTTGAGAATGTATCGAATTTCTTCGTTAAATTCACTCATTTTGGCGGACAGAAAAACAATTGAAAACGGCTGGAAAGTGTTTTATGCTTTTTTTTTAATATCCTATATATATTGATATTAAAACCAGTCAGATACAAACAGTACAACCAGAGTATTTTTTTTTTTTCAATTTTATACAAACAAAATACGAGGAATCTTTTCCCCGACTTATTATAATATTATCTTGCTAAGCGTAACGATGAACTATCGACACCTAAACGAAAATTTCTAAACCGATCGAAAAGTACTTTTTTAAACATAAATGATACCAATAGGAAGTTGTACCCAAGCGAAGCGAAGGGTCGCTAGTAATTTCTAAAATTCTTACGCTTTGCGCGCTGTTTATATTTATTTATTTTTTCTGCTAGAGCTGGAGTTGGATTAGAATTCCCTTTGGCTTTTAATCCGCCATTTATACGCGTTTGTGTACCAAGAAATTCTAAATTAATACATGAGTATCGTATTATACTCGTACCTTACACACTGCCGCTGTTCCGATTTTATATCTTACTGATACCCGCTCGCTTCGCTGGGCGCACGATCATAGACGATATAACGTACCTAGCTATAAAATATCAATTTATGGAATTATTATAAAATCCGTTCTTAGTGAGCATCTACAATGCGAGTGAATGATTAACCACGAATTACGATATCTCCAAAACTATACACCAGATTCAAGTCAATCGGGTGTATAGTTTTAGAGATATTGTGATAAAGTCAGTCTGTCATTTATATGGCATATATATATATATATATATATATATATATATATATGTGTGTGTGTGTGTGTGTGTGTGCGCGTGTGTGTGTGTTATAGGTAAAACAATATTAAAAATTTAAAATTTACCAGTAGGTACCACCCGTCAAAATTGTATGTAAACAACAACGTAATATTCTCCCTTGGTTATAATAATAAAAAGAAACGTGGAAGGCGAAGGTATCTAAGCGCATACAGCCTTGAACGTGATGAACATGTTTTTATTTTATTGGTTATAAAGTTTTTTTGCATGAAAAAGTCATGTGTTGTTCACTTTGCTTATATGCCTTAAAAGTAAAAGTAAAGTTACAGCCTATATACGTCCCACTGCTGGGCTCAGGCCTCCTCTCATTTCTGAGAGGGTTTAGGGCAAGGAAGTGTCCGCCGCGCTGCCCAAATGCGTGTTGACGAACTTCACATGTCTTCGAAATATTTTTTTTCTTATTCCTCAGACACGCAGGTTTCCTCACGATGTTTTCCTTCACCGCCGAGTACGTGGTAAATCAGCACTTAAAATTGCAATTAACAATTTCATTGGTGTCGGCGGGGATCGAACCCGGGTTACTCGCGTTCTGTTATATTTACAGCGAGCGTTAACCACTGAGCTACCACGGCTTTTTGTATATGCCTTAACGGCAACATAAATACATTATTTTCTTTCTTATGCAAATTTATGGCATCTTACGAATGATACAGGTTTCATTACTCCGCTTTTATAGTAAATATTAAAACACTTACCTTTACATTAATTTTAGTAAGAGAAACGGAAACAGACTTTTTATTCAATATAGATTATAAATAGTACTTATTGAAAGTTATTTTTTTGTTTATTTTACCATGTTAATTTAGGAATTTACTACCAACCATTTAGATTTTGGAAGAAAAGATCTCGTACTGACGAGCGAAGTGTAGAGCACCCCCCACTAGAATGAGTTACGACCTATTAAAAGATGCTATCCACCATACCAGTGGACTTAATGAACTGTAATGATGATGAAGATGATGTATTAATATAATAATTATAAAAGTAATATTGCAAACCTGAGGAGGATGATCTTGAACACAGGTCCCACGAGGCCCTTGATGATAGCGGATGCGTTAAGGTGACACCTGCCGTGCAGCACTATGCCGTTCACCTGTTGAAAAAATAAAACTATATGAGCATTTGGTAAAAAAATAACTGGATGAAAAATAAGATTGATCTTTCTGACATCAGACGCAATTCAATGAAAACTCTAAGTACCGATTTGACTTTTGATACTGAAGGATAAAATTATGGAGTGTAGAAGTAGGGAGTACAGACTGTGTATTAAAAAGTGTCCATAGAAAACCGCTAAATAAGGGTGGCACCACTATAACTACGGGGTATACTTTAAAGAATGCACCGAAAAATATTAGTGGAATAGACGACTTTTTCGAGGTTATATTTATTAAATAAAATTATTTTAGATTTTAGAGCTACAGAGCAGTTTAGCAGCACACTTCAAACCGTCGACAACTGCTAAGTTCATTTCATCCCAGTAGCTACCCCAGCGCTGTTGTGGAGAGTTTTTTAACCGTTATTTACTGCTTACAGATGACCACTTATTCAACTAATCTACTATGGGAGTTGGTACTCCTTGCTTCCACACTCCATTGATAAAATTTATTAATTTTACAACAGACTATGTAAATCAAGAGCAGAAGTCCTGCAGAGCAAAGGTCCCTCATAGCATCAGAGAAGGGATATTTGCCACACTTGCTAAGTTTGGCAGATTTTATATAATTTTGAGTTGTTATTATAAAAATACAACAGTCCGTATCCTGTTTTCTCTCCGTCGTCTCTTTAAACTATATATTTTATAAGGTCAATAGGAACTGTTAGGAGAAAAATAGTCTATTTGTGAGTTTCTTGCCATTTCTTTCCATAAGGTATCCTCGCAGTAGCGATTGCGTGACATTTGACTTTCAAAAGTGCTTTGTACTTAAAAGTCAATGTTGAATAAAAACGTTTGACTTTGAACATTTGTCTAATTCCGAAAATGAATTTCGTTTAAGTGTCGTACTCATCGTTGTAGGGATTTAACAATTTCCTAAAATACAAACAAGTTACGAGGTGATTTTACTTTGACCGATATTCGACATCGACGACAACCACGAATAGGAAATACCGATTGAAAATTGAAATGCGGTAGTTGAATTTTTTAAGATGGTCGGTAAGTGTTCTTTTGCGTAAGTAAGTTAAATAAGTCGGTGAAAGTTCAATTTTTTGTTCAAATCATTGTAAATACAACTTGATTGGGCACTGTACTGTCTCTCAGCAAATTTAGATTTTACATAAATTTGTTTAATGACGTGATTATTCCCCCGTTTAGATTTTTTGTGAATCATATGGCGGGTTAATATGTATTTTTAAAATTGTCTGCAATTTATGTATGCAATTTTGTATATGTAATTTTATATATGTAATTTTATTAACATTCAGTCTTAGTAAATTATATCTAAGCCATCTAGAGATCTTCGCAAAACCTTTTTCAGCCTTTTCAAATACACCTTTCCAAGCACTATCAGTTTGTATTTTCTTTATTCCATACTTTATTTCATATTTCCTTCATTTATAGTACAATATGTAACGTAATTAACGCACACCCTCAGACACCCCAATTAGTATATTATGTTATAATCATAATACATACACTAAATTTTTAGTTAAACATTCCGGAAGAATGTTGTGGTCACGGTACAAATCCACGAACGCAAAGACTTTAACGTGCTTGAAATAAAGTTAATTTATCTTTATTTCTATTGAATGACAGGATTAGTAATAATACAAATAAAACTGCACTCTTAAAAGTCTTATTGCCTTAAGTTACGGTCCATTTCAGTTTGTTTTGACTGTACAGATTTAATGTGACTATAATTTACGTAGTTTTAATTATTTTTGGGATAAAAAATTACCTATATCGAAAATGATAGGAATCGATTCGATAGTGTGTTAATTATGTTACATGTTGTATATTCCAAGTACTATTATGGTGAGATATATCATAGTGCTGCAAGTGAACGTATACGTACTTACATAATAAAAGAATGCAGAAAAATCTATTGAATTATGTATCATGTTTCAATCAGAACAGACGTTAAACAAGAATAGTCTGGCTTAGTTTCGGAGTCGATTCCGTACGGCGGTTTTGTGTAGTGGATATGTTACCTACGGAGTAGCGGTAGCGTAAAAATTGTTTTTTTTTACAATTTATTTTCTTTTTTTTTATAGTATAAAGGCGACAAACGAGCACGCAGCCCACTTGTAAGTGGATGATGTGGCCGATAGAGATCTACATCTACCCTCTTTTAAGAATTAAAATGCAAATGCGTTGTCAAATTCTCCTGATTATTTTTGTAGTGATTTCTTATATTTACGCGAATACTACAAAATGGATAAAAGTAATTTTACGGACTTTATGGTGTTTAATTTTAATATTTTATTATGATGTCGTAGTTCAGATAAAGGGAGTTAAGGTGTATCCCTGAACAAAATTTTGCGAAAGTGCGTTTTTCAGACTCTATTATCTCATTAGTTATGAAAAAATAAACTACATCTATAAGCAAATAATTAATGTTCGATATCTTATCATCATATTCCACGTTCTAATTTGTTCTTGTTCTAATTTGTGCTATAAATACATTTAAATTCAACTTTTAAAAAACGACTAAAATTCTTGATTACATGCATCTATTGCTAAATGTAACGCTCTAATCATTTGAGGTTTACATTAATGGATAGATAATTTAAAAATCTATATTCTCCACGTTTCATTTAGTTTTTTAAGTTCGTTTTTCTTTTTTAATTGAAACAATTCCAAAAATTATGTGAATTCTATGATAAACGCAGAGAGAACGCAGATAACGCAGAGTGCGGGCGGCATTACGCGTTCGTACGAGGAGCGTATGGATGCGATGAGAATCACTAAGCTAACAGGAAGTCTGCAGTATGTCGACATATTCAAAATCGTCCTAACAATTATATTAGATTAGATTAGATTGAAAAGAACACCAACTCCTAGCAAGAATGATTGGCTATTGAAATTAAAAAGTATCCTTTTTTCAATAGAGAAGATTCTTCAACGCAAAACTAGGCACAAGAGAAAACGGTGAGCTGAAGTTAGGGAAATTTGCAGTAGGGCAACGGAACCTAAGGGGCCAGCAGCTGGCCGACTTTATGGAGAAAGAGGGACTCTTTATGATGAACTCTTTCTTCCAGAAGCGGCCCCACAGGAAGTGGACCTGGTCGAGCCCCGACGGTTCGACAAAAAATGAGATTGACTTCATTATGACGACCAGACGCCAACTGTTCAGTGATGTCTCAGTGATCGCAAGGGTGAAAACTGGCAGCGATCACCGAATGGTTAGAGGCACACTGAACCTAAACGTTAAGTTGGAGAGGTCTCGTCTAATGAAGTCAACGCTCCGTCCCCCCCTCGTGCTCTAATCCAAAATCCCGAAAACTTTCAGCTCGAGTTACACAACCGCTTTCAGTGCCTACAAGATTGCAATGCAGTGGACGATATGAATGACACGCTCGTGGAAACTGTCCATGCGGTCGGAGCTAAGTTCTGCAAGACCCGCCGCAGAAGAACACAAAAACTCTCCGATCACACTCTTAATCTCATGGCTGTTAGACGGGAGATGAGGCTGCAATCGTCAACAGATTTGACAGCATACAGGCAACTGAACAGACAGATCTCCAAATGCATGCGGCGAGACTTACGCAACTTTAATACTGCTCGTATTAAAGAAGCGATCGAGCGGAACCAGGGCTCCAAAGTCTTTGCCAGAGATCTGTCTGCCAGAAAGAGCCAACTGTCAAGGCTGAAGACTGAGTGTGGCAGCATCGTTTCCGGGACACCTGAGATTTTGAGTGAGATTGAGAGGTTCTATGGGCAGCTGTACACATCATTGTTGGAGCCACACGCAAGTGTGAGTAACGATCCAAGAGCAAGTCTTATCCGACACTATTCCGATGATATCCCGGACGTAAGTCTAAGCGAGATTAGAATGGCTCTCCAGCACCTTAAAAACGGCAGGGCCCCAGGCGAGGATGGCATTACAGCGGAGCTTCTGAAAGCGGATGGAACACCGGTACTTGAAGTCCTTCAGAAGCTCTTCAATTCCGTCCTCCATGGTGGCACTACTCCAGAGGCGTGGAGCAGAAGTGCGGTGGTCTTGTTCTTTAAGAAAGGCGACAACGCTCTCTTGAAGAACTACAGACCGATTTCCCTTCTGAGCCGCGTCTACGTGCTGTTTTCGAGAGTCATTACGAATCGTCTCGCACGCAGACTCGACGACTTCCAGCCTCCCGAACAAGCCGGTTTCCGAAAAGGCTTCAGTACCATAGACCACATACATACCCTGCGGCAGATTGTACAGAAGACTGAAGAGTACAATTTGCCACTTTGCCTGGCGTATGTGGACTATGAGAAAGCCTTTGATTCCGTCGAAATTTGGGCGGTGCTGCAGTCCCTTCAGCGGTGCCAAGTTGACTGTCGGTATATCGAAGTGCTGAAGTGTTTGTACAGTAGGGCTACGATGGCTATCCGAGTACAGAACCAGAGCTCGAAACCTATCCAACTGCAGAGAGGTGTAAGACAGGGTGACGTTATATCCCCGAAACTCTTCACCGCTGCTTTGGAAGACGTTTTCAAGCTACTGGACTGGAAAGGATACGGTATTAATATCAATGGCGAGTACATCACTCACCTTCGATTTGCCGACGATATAGTCCTTATGGCAGAATCGCTGGAGGACTTAAGCACTATGCTCAATGACCTCAATAGTGCCTCCCAACGGATAGGTCTTGAGATGAATATGGACAAAACAAAGATCATGTTTAATGTCCATGTCACACCTATTGCCGGTAGTTGTTGGGAGCACTATGCTCGAAGTTGTTGACGAGTACGTTTACCTGGGACAAATAGTCCGACTAGGTAAGTCCAACTTCGACCGAGAAGTCAATCGACGGATTCAACTCGGCTGGGCAGCGTTCGGGAAATTACGACACATCTTCTCGTCAGGTATACCTCAATCTCTGAAAACTAAAGTGTACAACCAGTGCGTGTTGCCAGTGATGACTTACGGATCAGAGACGTGGTCCTTCACT